ATGGTTCTTCTGTTTGTTATGTATTGAACAAGTATTTTGTGCTGAAGGGCTTAATTACCGTTAAATGTAGTTGTATGTCAATCTGTTTTCTTGGGAATTTTGTTACAATAAATGTTATAAGTTAATACAGGAAGAAAAAGAAATTCTAAGAAATATGTTGACAAATTTGATACATTTGAAAATGAATGAGCAAAACTCAAACAAAGCAAGGTTGAACCTAGATAGCGGTACTAGCTGACTACTCATCCCATCTTTCAATCACATGATATGTAAAAATTTGCAACAAGGTCGTGGAAACAAGCAACAAAGTTCTCGCAGCTTTCTCATCTACCGGTCAACTAAACGACGAGCAATTCTCATCGACTATTTCTCATTCTTCTGGAACACATCATTGAATTCGAAATTGAACAGTTCCAGTTCATCTTCGTTTCTACCTTTGTGGAAGTATATAGCACAGTAAATAATGCCTCTCCCCCCTTTACCTATAACACACTGCAGCGAACGTCTACATGACTCGCATCACCAAATTGACACCAACGACCGACATTTGAATTCTGCTTTTAGCGCCTTGCAATTGAAATGAAACAGCGTAAAGCAGCGCAAAACCAATAGATATTAGCACGCAGCTCAATTAACAATTTTACTACTGGGAAACCGGTTGGGAATGTGTTTGTGCTTCTTCGCTTCAAATATTTTTGAATCTCCGAATTTTAAACTCGAAGTCAGTCATTCTTTTATTTACTGTCATCCTCTCAACTGATTACATTGTGTGCCCTACTGCCTCGCTCTTCCTTTCAGTGATTCATTAGCCCTTTCCTGCATTATGCTTCCATGTTTCACCTCAGTTTACTTTCCCACTTCACGTTGTGATTGTTATCATCACACTATCCCATTCCAAAATTCTCCTTCAGTCGTAAATTGCGGACGAGTTGTGTACAGAGATGGAATCATCATTACAATAATACTTTCTTATTGGTAGTTATAACAGCTGTCATGGATATGTCATTTTATGTCTATTTTTTAGTGTTAATTGAATATTCAGGAGTTGGTCCCGACCAATAACGGGACCCGCTCGAGTTCTTTTCGGGAATGTCACTAGTGGAGAACAAATAAGGCTATATACCGTATAACATGTTCGTCATGTCACTAGTGTTGTCTTTATGAAGACATTTTCAAAGAATAAGTTGTCGTCTAGACAGAACCCCGTGGATGAGTGACTAGTGAGTGTGATGGTAACTGGGAGACACGACACCGCACTGTCGTCACTTTTTTCAATGATGCGGTTGTGGTGTACTACTAATTACCCCATTAATGTTTACTTATCACGTTGGGAGGCGGGGCGACGAGAGAAGGCATGGCACGGGAAGGCCTCCCTAGAGATTTGAACATAAACTTACCGCACGACCACTTCCTGGAACGAGCAAGCAATGTACATGTATGTGTTTCTATGTCTGTCTTTTATGAACGTTGTTTAACCTTCTGGTTTATTTGCATGCATCATTCAGACAGATTGGTGAGTGTTATCCCCATACCTGTCCATACCTCATTTTTCCTGCCCATAATATATCAACTGACCCGTGTTACGAAATAGACATTCGGTTACTCTAAACTGAATGTCAAGTCCGTTGCATTAAAGTATAGAATCAAAGTTAGGAACGTTGTAGCTCTCTTATCGTTTTACACCCTGATAGTTTCTGCTCGGTGGCTTCCTTAGACTTCTTTCTTTGCAGGTTCTCTGCTAAAAAGAGAAAAGCTACTGATTATATAGAATTACCTTTGTCTTCTTCCCTTATCGCACTGGAATTGTTCGAGGATGTGTCGATATGTTAGCTCACTTACTAAACTAAAAAGACACTAGGCGTCGTCAAAACTTATTTACTGTCTTTGTGATGGTTTGAATTACTTAGCTTTAGCTGGTCCACAGGTCAAAGACACTCTTAGCTTGCTTCAGATTTTGAATATGTATCTCGCTGTGCTTCACCACTCTTGTGTCACCGTATAAGGATGGAGCTATCGTAATGGATTTCCCAATGAATAGTTCTTACAAACACAAAATCCGAGTAATGATTTTTGAAAACAAGTAGCTTAGTGGAATGGGCAGATTTGACGAGAATTATTTAGTAAATAGTAATTATTTAGTAAGATTCACGTTAACCTTTGTGGCCTCTATTTTCTGATCATGTCACCACGTTCGCATAGCATCAAGGGTTAGATTTGCAACGTATATGTCGAGTATCTGTAGAAAGGTTTGAAGAAAAGAGACGGACAAAGTGCAATTTCACATCTCTCTTTTCAGTAGTTCTTGGTTTTCACGGCCAGCATATGTTCGAAACTCATTGGACTGGAATTTTTTTTCTCCTCTGGAATCGTTCAGGCAGTTGTTCTTCAGAACGGTTTCTTATAAAAGCCTTATAAAGGTCGAATCGGTCGTTATGAAAAAATGAAATTATTCATTGCATGAAACTGTTCGGAATTTAGTAATTAAGCATGTTGCAGAAAATTGCTGTGCTTTTCGGAACTAAATGGCATAAGATGACAAGTGGAAGCGGTCAGGGAGCCGTACCAGTCATGGCACAATCTCTAGATGCTTGGCCACAAAATATGTCAGTTGTCTTTATTTTTGATCACTTATTATAATTGAAAGGGCTACATTTCTTCTTTACTTTTTCTCATTTCTTTTCCAGTGGACACTATTTAAAAGATTCAGTCGAATTCATTGAAACTTCAGGTAGTCTAGGGTACTGTTTATGTATTACCAGGACGGATATTGGAGAATTAAACGGATCAGTGTCGAAGTACGCGCGGATGGATGGAATGGGACCAAGAATTGGTGAGAGTGAAGATCCCGGATCGGAGAGTAAGGAGCGATTCGCACGTGAAAATCATAGTGAAATTGAACGACGGAGACGGAACAAAATGACTCAATACATCAATGAACTTGCTGAAATGGTACCTCAGTGTGCTGCTCTAGGCCGTAAGCCGGATAAACTAACTATTTTGCGGATGGCTGTCTCCCACATGAAGGTTGCATTTAGTTGACAACACTTAGTTCTCCCACGTATGACTATAGATGATTTCAGACCCTGGTGGTCTTTGTATATAAAACTGTTTGAGGTAGAAATTTATAACATCTATAAGTGATTTCCGTATTTTATGCTAAAATGATCTGATTTGTATTGTTATCTGTATTAGCATAAATGAAGATAATCATCTACTGCAGGCGATTCGCGGTGGTTCACAAAATGAAGCCTCATATAAACCATCTTTTTTGACAGATCAAGAGTTGAAACATTTGATCTTAGAAGCAGCCAATGGCTTCTTGTTTGTTGTTTGTTGTGATACAGGAAGAATTCTTTATGTAGCCGATTCAATTGTCCCTGTTCTCAACATGCGCCAGGCCAGAACTTGTGTCATCACAACTCTTTTAAAATGATGTATTAAAAGTCGTTTTTAAATGCTCAAATTTTAAACAACTCGAAATTACTCCGAAAATTACTTATTTTATTACTTATTACTTAATTACTTGTTTTATTTTATTTTATTTTATGAAAAAAATATAAATTACCAGATATTTTTTTCAGATAACCTTAGTTTATCTCTTGATGAAATAAAGCTTTTACCAGCTTATTTATTTTATTTAACAGTAGAATATGAATGGAAATTGGTGAACAAAATATTTTTGATGGATTATTTTTAGGGTATAAGTGAAAAAAAATATAAATTTAGTATGAATCATCGATTGTCCTCGCGATATCGCTTTTGACAGCATTTCATTTTTACTGTCCGATGTTGTGAACACACGTTTCACTTTCCCCACTTTTTCGTTCCAATTAGCGTTTCAAATTGTTAACATTTAAGGATGACTGGCTGCATCATGTTATCTATGACCTGGTACATCCTGACGACATGGAAAAAGTGAGGGACCAGTTATGCGGAAGCGAAGCAAGTATGAATCGAGTCCTCGATTTGAAAACTGGTACTGTTAAAAAAGAGCAGGGTTCCATTCGCGTTCATATGAGTTGCCGTCGTGGTTTCATTTGCAGGTAAAGGGTTTTTCTCCATTTTTTTTTTTTTTATTATATTCTCTATTTTAAGCCCTTGTCTCGTTGCTCAAGTTGTGGGAATAATTTGTCGAATAAAAATCATGTGTTTAATATTAAATTTTATCGCGAATTCATTTATATATTTATTCAGCTAATAAATTCCAATTTTTAACTGGTTGATTTTTTGAACTCTATCTGTCGATAGAAAGGGACAAAAAACAAAAACTATTTAGTACGCTTCATGTGACAACCAGATCTAGAACGAGGTCTCTTGTAAATTATAACAGTTTACAATATCAATCTGTGAATTATATCAGTACTAGTCGTAGATCACATCGTCCTGCGAATTATAACAATTTACGCTGAATGGTTGTTAATATCATTGATAGCTTTTCCTATTTTATGCACAACAGTATTTGATGATTTTCATCTCATATGTTTTTTCATCTAGAATGAGACTAGGGCCGTTGGAACCCCTTCATCGTCTCTGCAATCGACGGCCTATCTTTACACATAACGGACAAAATTATGTGGTGGTACACTGTACTGGTTATATCAAAAATTCGCCACCGAACGGTCTTGGACTTGATTCACCACCATCGAGCTGTCTTGTTGCTATTGCACGATTGCAAGTTGCCAGTATGCCGATCAGTAGTGAACAAAATTCCACCTCGCAGTTTTCAGTAAGACTCGCAGAGGATGGGAAGGTGAAAGTAGCCATTTTTATTTCAGTTTTATTCTGAAATGTCAGTATCTTTTGTGGTACTTCCTAGATATCAGAATGCATTGTTTACTGCGTGGTTTTTCTAGATAACATTTGTGGAACAGAGAGCGACGATTCTGTTATCCATACCCACGGAGCAAATATTAGGACGTTATTGGTGGCAGATTGTACACCCTGCAGATGAACAAACTGTGCACGATGCCTTCATGCATATTATCCAAGTAACTGGCAGTACTTCGGTCAGATTTTTTTCACACTTTCACATTACTTTCCGTTTATGAAACAAGTTATTTTAGGAGTTTCAGCGTGAAAATCCCGAGGTGATTTAACAAATTAACCACATTTTAATGTACTGGGATATTTTTCCTCATTATGCTTTACTTGTCGTCATACTAACAGTCGGTATTTTGTTTTAGAAATAGAGGCATATTAACAGTACCTTCTGCCGAATCATTCGTATTTTACCTTGATCTGATTGCATTGTCTTGCAGGACCAAGGCACAGAAATATCATTTCGATTAAGGACACAAACAGATTTTGTTCCGTGCGCAGCCACTGCCCATAGATTTCTAAACCCATATTCAGAGCAGTTTGAATATGTGGTTGCCACGCATATAATGATTCCAAAAGATAACGAAAGTTGGCAAGCCAGTTCCCAGGTAAGTTTGCTCACCACGCAAATGGAACGCAAACCTGTAGTTATTTAATTTTCACACCATTCTGTTCTAGGATAACTATGCTTATGAGGAATGAAGTAGGGGTCACAAATAGAAGATGATTTTAGTAATGCTGATGTAAAAGTCTTTACACGACATTTAGTTGGAAAAGTGATCACTCTCATTATTTTGTTGATTATACGATTTCAGGTGTTTCCAGCAGTATCATCTGAATTCGACCCATCGTCAGGTAATGAGTGGTCGCCTACTACCAGTTTTGGGTCGGATGGTGTTGCACCTGGTACCAGAAGACATATGTGGAATATGGAACAATGGGTACAGTATGATCAACGGCAATGAATGGGATAATATGTATGGGCTTTTCATAAATTGATTTGCTGACTACCGTTATATTTCACGTTTTTGTTATACGACTACTTCATTACCTGTAAAGATATATGCATAAACTTGTAAGAGAAGATATTCGATAATAATAAGCTTGTATAAAACAGTTGTGATAACTGGATAGACGATAAAGAAAACTACAATTGCATGGTCTAAAACAGACATTTCTGAATCCCTGTCAGGAACATTCAGATAAATGGCTAATGATAAAACAACATGATAACATATACTATTTCTTATCATAAAATTTCTAAAAGGAGTTATTAGAATCCTTTTGTTTCATCATATGTGGGAAAGGATGGCTGTAAGTACTTGAGAACTCAGTAATTCAAGTAAGGTTTTACAATCTCTGCGGGTTAGTACTATAACTGAATGAGATTTGAAGCCGTTGGCAGTGCGCTGATCGCTGAAATATTTCACCATGGTGAGGTGGGTTTTGATCAAGTAGTCGGTTTCGCTAAAGCAGTATCATTCTATTTCTGCCTGAGAAAAGTAGATCGCCTGAATGTGAAGGAGTATCAGCGTGAGTCGCTAACGTTTTCCTCAACTAACGACGACACGTACTCCGTAGCTGATGATTCAGCAGTACGATGCCGCGAAAATTTCTTCTCAGACAATTCAGAAACATTTAGTTCGGAATTAATATTGAGCATTGGATTCCACATTCCTTGCACCGAAGCGACTTGAGCAGATTGTCTCGAAACTAGATCAACTACCGGAAGACCACTTCGAGTTCGTAACAGATTAAAATGTCTTTCCACCTCTTCTGCATCGAAATTCTTCAAAACAATCTGAATTGTGCGTCCATTTCCATACTCTGCTCTTAGCACCGGAATATTCTGCCTGGAAATCGCATTATATCTAGGTCAATCATATATGGAAAGGTATATCAGACATGCTTCTTTTGTGTAAATGAATTTAGGGTTAAATAGAACTCTAATCTTAACCGTTGTCATTTTGCATTGCAAGAATGATAACAGCTGAGAGCATCTCGAAGAACAGTCCATAACAATTGATGAAAGTCTAAAAAAAACCTTCATTTGCACAATCGATAAAAATCAAGCACATCATAAGGACGGAGTTCCGTCAAAGCGCCAACGACACTAGCCTCCTCCAGAAAGTCAACAGGTGTATCACATACGGGTTTGCACATAGTGCCTATGGTTATCCACATATAAAAGAGGCGCGCAAATGAATAGGAGGATCAGTAAAGTAGTTGTCGCCGTCGGTTTTTTGATCAAGCAATAATTTTCAGGTAATAATCATTCTAACTGTTCAATAGCTTGAACTTAACACTGTTACCAGCTACAATGTAATGTATATTTCGATATGTTATTTAGAATACGAGAATGAACGCGTAAAATACCATATATAACATGCATCTCTGTGATAATTTCTTGATAACGGGAGTGGAAGGGAAGATTGGAAAAAAAAAAGAAAGGCAACAGACAAACCTGATGGGCTGTATGTAAACGACTACGGAGGGATTCTCTGATGCAAATTGCGACAATAACCCACTACCAATGAAATGCCTTACTCCAGCGCTGCATTCATTCTTGCGGCAGAATCGAACGGTGATCCGATGCAGTTGGGAGATATATTTAGTTGCAGCATTGTTGAACGGAGTACAGGGATAGCCCCTCATACGCCATCCATAGTTTAAATGCATCGCTGCCGTATAACATATCTTAATCCTGTCAATGCGTGGCTTTGATGGCATCGAGTATCTGCAACGGAACGGGGAACTTATTAACATGTCGGAATTTACCATCAAACAATATGCATGTGGACAATGGAAAGCGCATCGATTTATTCTAAGCAAAAGAAAGCTGTATGAAGAATACTTTTCCTCTCCTCTTTTCATTTTCTCCCGTATACAACTGTTTGATAATTAATGTTCATGGAATACTTGCGAATAAGCATTAGGAAACGTAAGTTCTCGAACTGTTCGTCCGAATAAATCAAAAATTATTTCTAACTGTTGACAATAACAGACAGTATGACATCTACTTCCTGATAAAGCTCTTGCAATTAAGACTGGAGGCAATGTGTGAGCGCTGAGGAACAAGCGATTTGCATATCGGTTTGCGTTAAATGTCAGGGGGAATGAACAAAGATGGTGGGTGTGTCTTGGCAGGTTCCATGAGCTTAAATATTCAGATGAGTTGATAGTTAGTTAAGTTTGGGTTTGGAGGTGCGAGGTATGTTAGGGTCATGGAAGTGGTCACATGGTTGGATTTATTTAGGAAGTGTGATGGGAGCGGATGGTGGCACAATTCCGAAGCGTTGTGAGCTTGTTAAAAAGAAGAAGAAGAAGGAAAAACTGGATAAGAATGTGGCGAACACGACAAGGTGGCGACTATGTCGGCTAAGCCAGGAGCCACTGAAGCGACCGATCGTAGCATGCAGATTGGGAAAGTATGTGACATCTTGATCTTAATTAGTAAGATTTAGGTATTTCACGCATGTTATTTGCTTTAAGAAAGTATCACTGAAACGGTGATAGTAGTTATCTATTGCTTCAGTAATTTGCTGTTGCTGCTTTCGTGACTTTATTTTTTTCTTATAAGGAAGCATTTATATTGGTTTAGCATTTCTCCTAATTATGATCGGCATCATGATCGTTTCCTCACAGCGTTTTATGAAAAAAGCTCATCCTAATATTAAGGACATTATTTCTATTGGCTGTTAATGGAACTGCATGTTTTAATGAGTCTTGATATAATGTAGCAGTTCTCACCAGTCGTTGTTGTCTTGAAGTAAGTACTTTTGGTTCCAGCTTATATAATAAGGAAGAAGTTCTCAATGCTATTTTGTCGAAGAAAATTGGTGAATATGAAGTAGCAATGCACATCAGAGGTTTGAGGGATATTAAAGAACTGAAGCTAACGGACAGCAAAGAATACAGGGAAAGTGGCGCTGATAAGGGAGATGTCTATAAGGATCATAATATTGCGCCGTTCTGCTGTCCAGTCACTGGGATTTCAATGAATGGCAATCATCCGTATGTTTACCCTACTCTTTTTAAGGAGAAAATACGAAAATAAGTTCTCCTAGTTTTGTTGTTTGTCATGTTGTTCTATTTAATATGTCTCTTCCACTCGATATTTTATATATTATCATTATCAATAAGCACGAGAGCCATCTACTTTCGCTGTCTGTTAGTGGTTTTTCTTTTATATCCCGGCTTTTACTACGAGCTTTGGTGGATCAAATATTATATACATGTTTGAGAAATATCATGAAATTCGTATACGTTGAGTATTTTGTTTTATAGCAGTCTTTTTACGTTGATTGTCTTTTCATTCTGTGACTACGTAATCCTGAGCGCCGCTTCTGGGGTAGTAATCTATTTTACGATGAATTTTTTTATAGAAAAGATTTTTATGGAATTTTCCCCAGTAAGATTTGTGTCGTAAAAAAAAATTCTAATTTTTCTAGTTTCTATCCTTTGTGTTAAAAACAGCTTCAGGTTCACTGTTAACTGGCGATGTGGATGTGTGATTTCGGAAAAAGCGATTGAAGAAGTAAAGCCAGATGTATGTCATGGTTGTGGAGGTCCATTCAGCAAAGATGATCTCATTCTAATTAACCCTCCACAGGATGTCCTTGAGATTTACAAGAAGCGGGAAGAGGAACGACTAAAACGAAAGTTAAGGAAGACAGCAAGTCAAGGTACATGTTATGACACTATAAGTTGTGTGTGTGTTGTTAGTCCTTCTCTTTAGTTATAGTTTATACTTCTCAAAAATAGCTTGTAGCTTTGAGAATCACAAGAATGTACGTTAGCGTTGAAGATCTCATATGGACGAAGTTATTTCGAGAATAAGATTTTAAAAAATTAAATTCATAATTGGGTTTTGGAAATTACATTCGTGCATTTAGCATCAACTGTTCTGTGGAAATATATTTTAGAACCGACAGAGAAAAAGTCCAGTATGAGTTGTAAAATGGAAATCGAATCCACCCAGAAAAAGGGAATAGTAAGCGAGCGTAAAAGAGAGGCGGCAACGTCGGCTGATTTTAAGGATTTGCTCAGAAAAGTGGAAAAGCGGAAAGCAACATCTGCCAAAATCAGTTCGATTCAGGATTCAAATGCATCTGCAGCATATAAGTCACTGTTCACGACATGCGAAGAGGCGAAACATAAGCCAGAACCACACTGGATAACGCACAATCCACTCTTTTACTGAAGTCTTATATATAGTTCTAAATAACTATGAGTAAAGCATTCTTATGGTGTACAGCATATTTTAACACTCCTAACATGTAGCACCTTCTAGCATAACATGTATTTTATGCAAAGACGAATACTATAGATTTTGCTGCCACAGATAATATCATATTCTATCTCTAAAAAATATGGATCCCATCTCTTCATTATTTAATCTTTTTCATCAGAAAAGGTAAGAACTTGAGAAGCCAGAACGGAAACCGACCACTAAATCCCGTGTCTTATATTCATTCTACGGAATATCCAATCTGTTTTTAGTTCAGCATTCTACGTGGGATCTACATATTTTTCCAGAGAATGAACAGAGAAGGAACTAGATAAACGTAAGACTGGAATTTGGACTAGAGAATGGGCGGAATGATTTCGCTTGAGTAGTTGAACTGCCACTCAGTTTCCGTTTGCCCAGCTTTCTCTTTGAAGCGATATAGAGTTGCTGAAAGAGTGATTTATTCCTTCGGATTTTTAAGATGCAAACAAAATTCTATACTCTTCACTAAAAATTTGATTGGAAGTGGTAAGTTACAATGACCTAGCAATTGGAGTTGCTGGTCTTCTTAAGCCTGTTCTTTCGCGTCATTATTTCGCATCGTCTCGCTGGCTCTAATACTGTTAATATATTAACAGTTGAAGCAATCTTACCTTACAAAACAGTATTGGTTCAATCTTTTCATCATAACCAGCTAATTCCTTCGTAGCTAAAATAATTACTGGCCGAAGCCGCTCACAGAGACGCTGTACATTATTCCTGAAGTATGATGTTAGCATTTTATATTATTCAGAATATTACCATTTTCACTTGACTATTGTATTCAATTTCACTAACTGGTTTCACTTACCTTCCAGCGTATTGATAAAGATCATAGACCGAACAGAGAAGTTGACTCTCCACTGCATTGTTTTTTATTTTCCGCTGTATGCAGTCGAGAAATTTGGTTAAGCCATTACGATAAAGCATTATCAGGTCTCGTTTTAACAAATAATCCCTGAAAACGGAAATTATATACATTATTTCTAATTCGTAATTATTGCAACAGTATGCTCAGTCCAATAAAAATGATCACGAAGATTTCGTTTATGAAGCACAGTCGTTCCCAATGGAAAGAAGAAAGGGGGGCAATTCACTTTGATATTTAAACAAGCTCTAAAGGTGCGAGTTCCCATTATTATCGGGATGAGGTCAGTTGTTGCATGTTTCTCACCTTTTCACTTGTTATCTTTTACTTTATAAAGCAGAAATGAAGGTTAGATTAGGAAATGAAATCACGAAATCCTGGTTGAGATTCAAGAAAAGCCTAGTTTAATTGAATTCCCGGAAAAAAATCTCTGCAGCACTTCTTTAACGGTGTGTGTGTGTGTCACTTACGTATTGTTACAGAAATCCAATGTACAGAATGTATGAATCAAGGTAGCAAGAGCCTTGAAATCATCCAGCAAGGCAGATAAATATATTGCTAAAGCGCTTATGCGACCAAGATGGTACTGAAGTGCATCTCCCCGGTCAATATCTTTACAGGAAATCGTTATCACATTCTGCAAATCATTTATGGTGAAGCTTTTTCATCAATCCTTTAATTTGAGAATGAATTCCAAACAAAAAAATGACCTCGAATATATTATCTGGATTGAAGTTTGCTTTTTTTTTGACAAGAAAACGACCGAATAAATAATTTGACGCTTCCCGAACATCTCCTTTGTAAAGCGCTAATTGCGACAATCGATAGTATGATTTGAAGTGTGGAAATCTGAAATATGATCGACTATCAAATACTATATCAAAGGGAAAATATGGGAATTGCACTCTTAAAAAAACTCAAGCATTTGAAGCAATTTGAAAGTCTTTTTTTTAACTTGCATATATCGCGAATTCCGATTCGCGAGACTCCAACCATACTCCAAACAAACAAATAAATTTCTTACTATAAATAAATGTTAATAGTGTAAATCATTTAATCAATTTACATTCTTTGAAATTATCTCCCATATGTTTCTTTTGTTATCTTTGTCTAACGG